CCAGCGGGAAACGGGAGGTCGGGGAAAGGGGAGCTCGAGACCGAACAGATCGGATTGCAAATGGAGCAGTCCGCTGGCCTGGAGAACCAATCGAGTCGATTCCAATAATTTGTAAAGCAAGAAGAAAAAATCCATTCGGTTGCCATTCAACCCGCGATGATAAAATGCGTAAATCAACGCAAATTTATGGCTGAAACAAGTTTTTCATTGGCGCTGAGCGAAAAAACAAGTCCCCGGCACTGTGGATGAAAACAGAAATTTGTCTCAGCAAATTTATCGCCCCTGGTGGTCCCCGATTTACAGGACCAATATGCTGTCTATTAAATCCAATATCCAGGGGGTGTTTGTCGAAAAGAAAAAAAAAGGACTTTTAATAAAAATACTTTCTATAAACCTTAGGGCCTTGATGATATTACATTTTTTTTTAACCAAATAAGAACATTCTATTTTCCTCTTCCATTGTTCCCAAATCTATATATCTTTGTTTGGCTCTATATAAATTGCTAATTTTATGGATATCCCAGTGTCTTCATTAATGAAGCGTCTGCGTAAAGTTCAGATAGAAAGCGTAAAGCCCTGACACCTGAATTTTGGCATTTCTGAAGAAAAAAAACACAACGAATCTTAAATATGCAAATACCGATGTGTGTGGGCGGATGTTTGAAATCTTCCAAAAATACAAAAGATATTTTCAATTTATTTTCAAGTACGAGTATATTCCTCTCGGAATATGATTAGCTGGGGAATTTACGACTTCCTTTCGATTATTTTGACAAGCGAATTATGCCCCTTGACAAGGGTCCTTACCAGAGTCTATCTCGAAAGTAAATGCATCTGCAATGGGTTCTTGAGTAATCAGAAAATCGAATTCAGCCATTTGTCAAACAAGTTTTTCGTTTGGATATCGGAAGAAGCCAGTATGGCTGCAGTGGGTTTCCATTTTCCATTTTCGATTTTCCATTCTGTAAGTACTGCACTTGAATTTTCATTTGTAATCAGTCGGCGTTTTGATTTTTTATTTGTTTTAAAATTCCAGACCCGTTGCCTTTGATATTTATTGGCTACTTGACTTTCCTACTTGATCGAGCCTCGCCCCGCCCGACGTCTTACTTTTGGAAATCTTGCTCGGTCTTTGGCATATGAGTTATAGTTTTTCCTCAGGCCTTCGACGGTTGACAATTTGTTTAATTATTATGGCATTTAGAATGTTCCCGCCCCGTCATATTTCCATTCATCTTTGATGGCTCAGCACACGTGTTTGGTTTCCTTTGCCTAGTTTTCCCATTCAAAGTTTTATGTTGGCCATAAATCAATTGGAAAAACAAGCGATTTTAATTTGTGGAATGATGTTAGTTGGACTTCAGTCCAATAAATTATATCTCACAGAATCAAACATAATGCCGGTCTAATGGGAAGTTCTATGTTCTCCTAACAAGAAAGATCTCTAGGTTCTACTCTAGAATCTGAATCTTTTTCTCCAATTCTTGTTGGCTTCGAAATTGATTCTTATTTCCTTCAAATTTGGAAATCTGTTTCGGAATGTTTTCGACAATATTTTTCTGCTCAGAAGCCAGAAATCCAGCGGCGACGTCAACGCCAGCCAGCAGCACAAACACTTTCAAATCAGACTCACTCATACAGTCGCAAACTCTAGATGCAATTGTATTGGTAAGCAAGCGAAGAGTATGATTCTCTGAATATTCAGATAGGAAAGAGAATCCGAGAAGTGAATGGAATTTCAAACAGCCCGCTGCCTCGCTACCTCGCCCGCTGCGTAGCGCCATCTAGCCTTGAGCAGGCGAAGTAGGCATGCATACCCCCACCGCCAGAGGTCGCTAGGAAAGATGTAGGTAAACAGCGCGTAGACAAATTTCGATAAATTTTTAAGCCAGGTCTAAAAGGAATATTTTTTTTAGCAATTTAAGTTTTTGTTTTTATATTAAGAGATATATTCAAGATTATTTGAGGCATTGATCAATTTTCTCCCTTGAATTGCGCAACATGATAGACAAGAAAATACGTTTTACAAAACTAATTAGCAATTATCATGGACCGTAATCATTATAAACTCATAAAATTTCAAAATCACAAAACAGATATTATTATTCTCCCATCGAAAAAAAAAATCTGAAATATTCATTCTCTGAGCGAAAAAATAAAAATCAAAAATAATCATTACTAATTGTACATCTATCATCATAGACGTGTATGTGTATCATCTATGATGATATTATCATCAGTTATAAGTTATTAACAAGGTTTTTAACATTCTTTTATGAAAATATTCATAATATAAAATGCATACATTTTTATATTATTGTAACCTAAGCTTAGATTTATTTATCATTTCTTCGTTGAAAAGATAGTAATAAAGATAAAAAGCATAAAAAACGTGTTACATTTGTACAAAATTTTAATTTTAGGATAGGAATTTTTGTGAAATATAACTTTTAGATCTTTTTTAGGCTTGACTTAATAGAAGTTTTTTTTTGAATATAAACACAAAACTGATTCATTTAAAAATATTTTTATATTTTTGAAGTGATATCCACTATTTTAAGTTAACGGAACTACAGCGTCGGCAATATTATACTAGAGCCGTTCTGAAAAAAAAATACAATAAAAAAAGCAACGTCCTTTTCCACAAAGCAACTAGTAGTTCCTACTTTTTCAAACTCCATTGCACCATTTCCAGACTAATTTTAAAATAGAAAATTTGTTAGTTTCAAAGGACATGCGGGTACTTGATGTTCTGAGAACTATGAGTACTGAAAGACACTTCGTATACCTGCGGATTCAATTCCTGGCGATGCCCCGGACTCCGCACACAACAACCACAGTCTTTTGGATATCATCAATATTTATTTATATTTATATTTCAAATACCATTTAAATTTAAAAAATGTACTAAATTAAGTTAAATAAAAATTGTTAATATGTATTTTATTGTTTTCAAATAGGTATTCAAATTGAAATTGATGAAATTGCTTTTAATATTTTTCATCAAAATTCAAAAACAAACCTACAGAATTTCAATTTCAACGTTTCAATTTCAACGTTTCAATTTCAACGTTTCAAGGGAGGAGCCAAAAAAATTCGCCTTCGAGACATTTTTTTTTCAACTCAAGAAAAAAAATGAGTAAAATTCGCCTTCGAGCTGAACTCAAAAAACTCACCTCACTCATGTTAATTCTTAACAGCTGCTAAGTTTTTCAATTTTATTGAAATCATTCGCATCCACTCCCACGCATGCGCCGTCTCTGTCTAACATGGCGAAATGAATGATGACTTCTTTCTGCAGCCATTTTGAATGAGGAATGGCAGAGCGGCGCATGCGCCGACCATACGAAGATGGAAGTCGAAGGAAGGGGATGGGATGGAGGTGGGGGCTGTTGCAGAAGCGGCTCAGAGCTGGATTTTCCGTCGCTGATTTTCATTTGGATAAATTTATGCAAATGAGGTGGAGTCGCTTCAATATGGAAACTAGACTTGGCAGGCGGCGGAGCGGGGATTGGGGCCTGGGGACGGCATGCGTTCTAGGCGGGCAATTAAAACCGGGATGGCTTTATGATATCTCAGGGGTGCCGCGCCTAGGCGACAACGCCGTCGTCCAAGCCGGAGTCGGGGCTGGAGCCACTTTTTATTGTCGCGCTGCAGCGCATTGCAACATGTGGCATTAATTATGCGGCGATAATGTCTTGCTTTGTTGCTCAGATTTTTGGTTTTGGCTTTTTTATGAAAGTGTCGGAATAAATTACATTATTTTTGGGCCGTCTGTTCCCTGTTCCCAGGAACTGATAAGATGGAAACTCGAACTCGAACTGGCAAAGTAAGAGCCCCTTATCCCCGGAGCTCTTGGAATTTTAATGTGCGTGGGCGGTGTCGGTGGTGGTGACACGGTTGCCTGCATGTCCGCTCCTCGTACATATACCATACCTACATATGTATTCCTATTAATGTTCTTCTGAAACATATTCCCATTAATTTCCGGGGCCAGAAAGTGGTGCTCAGCACGCGCTTTTCTTCTCTCCCCCTTGGATGTTTGTCGCCAAAAAGGGGCAATTAAATTGTGACAGAACACCCATTCCACACGTCATCAATTACGGGCTTTATGTATTCATTGGTTTTTCGATTTTTGTCGGGGGTGGATTTGTGGGGGAACAGGAAGTCCCGCCATATGTGACAGTTACATCATCCAGGCCGTCACCAGCCGGGTTGCTCTAGATTCGGATTCGGGTTGCTCTACAACCCGTTTTCATGATCTCTTTCAGAGCGTTTTAGCCACGGTCTCGCCCGGTTCTTTGTTCTGACCAAAATATTTTGAGACCCGAGCTGCTGTAAACTGTTTATGATGTGGTCATAAATGACCCGCCTTCACGCTTTCGCCGACCCGAAAATCTCCGGGATCGGGCCCAGTTTGCAGGCATTGTCATCAGCATAATCCTCCCGAGTCCTGCGGATCTTGGTCGCCTTTTGCGTCACTCTTCCTCGAATGCCACTCAGTTCGCACTCAGCCATAAATCACTTCGAAGAGGTGTACTGGTATCTACACAACCCTTTTGGCTCTTTTCTACCTGTTTCCCATTCAAACTCTGGCCTCCTTCCGGCAACAGACGGTAATTTATTCATTCCAGTCAGCGGAGATCCCTTGCAGGAAAGACAACGTGTCTTTCTTAAGAAATACTTGTCAGTTTCGACTAACAGAATAGATCAAGATCGGTACTAAAGTTTCGATTAAAGGTGAACAATATATCACAGCTATAAACACTGAATAAATTAAGGCCCACAATGGGGAGTTGATTTAAGACTTGAGTGTATTTTTTATTGAAAACCAGTTTGCAAAAGCCAATTAATTAAAGTGCTATGAGAAGCAATTCAGAGTGTTAAGGTTAAAAATAATATGAAATTACTATCAGTATAATTACTAATACTCTCAATTATTTCACAAGTTTTATAAACTCCACTTCCATTAACAAAAATATAAAGTATACAGCACTTACCTCATGTTGGGGCTCTTTCAATTAGCCAGGTTAGTGGCGATTTCGTGTCTGGACGTCAATGCGTGACTGTGCGCCTTGTGGCAAATTCATTTTTTGTTGGTTAGCCGGTGGCCAGAGGACTACGAATGTACATGCTTCAGCAGCCCCATGAATCAGGCCAGCTATTTATGTCCCAAATGTCAAAAACGGAGGCCACAAATCACTTTAATTGAAGTCACGCCCCGTGTACTCGAGGGATCGGGATCCCAGGCCCGGAGTGGCTGCACCACCGGCTGTGGTGGTGCCCCAGTGACGACCACAAGGCGGAAATGCTGGCAAATTTATTTTTTCCATTTTTTTCTCTCTTGGTCTTCCATACTTGCACACGCGAATTTGTAATCCACATTCACAATTAGCCATTCGAACGCGCGCGGATACAGAGGCCATTGCGGGTGCGGATGCGGAGTCGGAGTCGGACGCGGAGTGAGGTCAAAGTTCTCTTGCTCTTTGTTATTATTATAATTAATTCTTGTATTTTTTGGCAGCAAACAAACCCGAACCGGCTTGGCTTGATTTACAGCCTGTTCTTTCGTTTTCTTTTGCCTTTCTTATTGTTATTATTTTCATCTTTTTTTTTGGGTCTGAGGCTTCTTCTGCGTTTCTCCGGCTTTCTCGGATTGCTGGGCTTTGTTGTTGGCCAGCTGGATCCCAACGATACACACAATTGGCACCGCCGATGCAGACAAAAGGCTCAAAAGTCCAACCTCGAATGCGACAACTGGCACAATAGACGGAGCAGCACACCGCAGCAGGACAATGGCCGCCAAGTAACGTATACGGAATACGGGAAACGGACTACGGAAAACGGGCTACGGGAGAACGGGAGCGGACTTGTTTTTTTTGGGTCTTCTGGCTCCGGGCGACGCGGCGGCGACCTGATGGCAAAGTGTCCAAAAAATAATATTTGCTGTTCACTTTGACACAAGGCAGCAGTCAGCAGTCGGCGGCAATCGGCAGTCGGCAGCCAGCGCGGTTGCAGTGGCTGAGGCAGCGACGTCGGCTGCGCAGCGCACAGATACATAGATACTCAGATACAGATACTGGAGCGAAGCGGAGGTTGGCGGCGGCCAAGGTAGCAGCACATTGTCCGCTGGTGGTGCGTCTCCAGGCTCCCAGGATAAGGCTCTGAGGATGATGTTGTGAGGTTGCGAGGTGAACAAGGAGGAGAAGGAAAAAGACGGAATACCAGAAGGTCGTAAACCCGCATCGACTGCGGCGCTGGCTGCGCGGTGGCAGAGAGACGACAGCCCGATGGCAACACTTGCGAGAACCCCAAAGAGAATGCCACTGAGTAGGAATGAGAATCCGGGCGAGACCGAGACCGACACCGATACCGACTCCGACACCAAAACCGAGACCCAATGCCAAAAGATGAAAAGCCATGAGAAGCGGCAATGGCAACGGCAACGGCAACGACGTCGGCGGTGGGTCATAAAACGCGCGTGTATCTCGCCTCTCTGTCGTGCCCCGGCTATCCCCGTCTCTCTTGCTCCTGGCCAAAAACAACCACCCGACCTGGAGCTCTCAGATACATACATACACATCCGTACATACAATGCCTACACTCACACAGACTGGCACATGTCCAATCATTTTATATACGCCATTTGCTGTCTGCCGCAGATACATTTGTATCTTTATGTGCGAAACAAGTCCCCGACTCATCCCAGCTCGACTCAACTCGTCTCGATTCGACGCTCGAAGCTGAAGCTAAAAACTGAAACTGAAACCGTCTGTATTTCGAGGCTGACGACATCGACGAGTCAATTTTGAATTCCAGTTTCCCATCGCGGTGGTTGTTGTTGCTCTAATCATTTGATTGTTATTCTTTCTACATTCTGCCCATCTTCAAACCACCACCGACTGTTCCATTGGGGTTCACACTGGGATGGCTGCTGCCTTGCTGCCTGCTGGCTGCCATCTCCTGTCCGCTTATCTTTTGATTACCAGATCGAATCGTATTGAATTAGGTACATATTCTCACCCATCTCGGGGCACTTCGGCGACAACTTTTTACCATTACCCCGCATATGCCGCGAATTCGACATGGATCCCGGGAGTAAAGGACAGTGTAGCCCCCTTTTATTCCCAAGATTATGGCCATTACTATGTGTGTATCAGATCGGAAACAAAATCCGTATTTATTTGAAAGACTTCTGGTTTGGAAAATGGAAAATGGGGTTTTGCTCTATAGGGTCCACAGTGATGGCTATATCTTCACCAATTCCCATACGATTCTCAAGCGGAGTACCTTAAACGATTTCTGGATTGATTCTCCACCATTCTGCATCAAAATCCTGAGACAAAATATTTTTTAGATTTTTTGTCCATTTTTCATGATGGGATCCCTGAAAATGGGGTTTTTCCCTGTATGGGCCACAGTGATGGCTATATCTACACCAATTCTCATCCGATTCTCAAGCGGAGTACCTTAAACGATTTCTGGATTGATTCTCCACTATTCTGCATCAAAATCCTGAGACAAAATATTTTTTAGATTTTTTGTCCATTTTTCATGATGTGTGTGGCCCACAGTGATGGCTATATCTTCACCAATTCTCATACGATTCTCAAGCGGAGTACCTTAAACGATTTCTGAATTGATTCTCCACCATTCTGCATAAAAATCCTGAGACAAAATATTTTTTAGATTTTTTGTCCATTTTTCATTATGGGATCCCTGAAATTGGGGTTTTCCCCTGTATGGCCCAAAGTGATGGCTATATCTTCACCAATTCCCATACGATTCTTGAGCGGAGTACCTTAAACGATTTCTGGATTGATTCTCCACCATTCTGCATCAAAATCCTGAGACAAAATATTTTTTAGATTTTTTGTCCATTTTTCATGATGGGATCCCTGAAAATGGGGTTTTTCCCTGTATGGGCCACAGTGATGGCTATATCTTCACGAATTCTCATCCGACTCTCAAGCGGAGTACCTTAAACGATTTCTGGATTGATTCTCCACCATTCTGCATCAAAATCCTGAGCCAAAATATTTTTTAGATTTTTTGTCCATTTTTCATGATGGGATCCCTGAAAATGGGGTTTTTCCCTGTATGGGCCACAGTGATGGCTATATCTACACCAATTCTCATCCGATTCTCAAGCGGAGTACCTTAAACGATTTCTGGATTGATTCTCCACTATTCTGCATCAAAATCCTGAGACAAAATATTTTTTAGATTTTTTGTCCATTTTTCATGATGTGTGTGGCCCACAGTGATGGCTATATCTTCACCAATTCTCATACGATTCTCAAGCGGAGTACCTTAAACGATTTCTGGATTGATTCTCCACCATTCTGCATAAAAATCCTGAGACAAAATATTTTTTAGATTTTTTGTCCATTTTTCATTATGGGATCCCTGAAATTGGGGTTTTCCCCTGTATGGCCCAAAGTGATGGCTATATCTTTACGAATTCCCATACGATTCTTAAGCGGAGTACCTTAAACGATTTCTGGATTGATTCTCCACCATTCTGCATCAAAATCCTGAGACAAAATATTTTTTAGATTTTTTGTCCATTTTTCATGATGGGATCCCTGAAAATGGGGTTTTTCCCTGTATGGGCCACAGTGATGGCTATATCTTCACCAATTCTCATACGATTCTCAAGCGGAGTACCTTAAACGATTTCTGGATTGATTCTCCACCATTCTGCATCAAAATCCTGAGACAAAATATTTTTTTTAGATTTTTTGTCCATTTTTCATGATGTGTGTGGCCCACAGTGATGGCTATATCTTCACCAATTCTCATACGATTCTCAAGCGGAGTACCTTAAACGATTTCTGAATTGATTCTCCACCATTCTGCATAAAAATCCTGAGACAAAATATTTTTTAGATTTTTTGTCCATTTTTCATTATGGGATCCCTGAAATTGGGGTTTTCCCCTGTATGGCCCAAAGTGATGGCTATATCTTCACCAATTCTCATACGATTCTCAAGCGGAGTACCTTAAACGATTTCTGGATTGATTCTCCACCATTCTGCATCAAAATCCTGAGACAAAATATTGTTTAGATTTTTTGTCCATTTTTCATGATGGGATCCCTGAAAATGGGGTTTTTCCCTGTATGGGCCACAGTGATGGCTATATCTTCACCAATTCTCATACGATTCTCAAGCGGAGTACCTTAAACGATTTCTGGATTGATTCTCCACCATTCTGCATCAAAATCCTGAAACAAAATATTTTTTAGATTTTTTGTCCATTTTTCATGATGGGATCCCTGAAAATGGGGTTTTCCGCTATATGGCCCACAGTGTTGTCTATATCTTCCGAAGTTTTCTTTTCTTGCCACCGATTTAGTCGAGGCAAATCCTAATGGTTTAATTGAAAAACTTATCCCAAAAAAGTTTATCTAAAGGCTTTATTTGATATGCCACAGGATTCTGGATCATCTTATATCACCTTGGACATCACCAGGAAGACACCTTAATGGCGCACCTTTTCGATGCAAGCCAAGTACCATATAGACAATATCCGCAGGATCATCATCATGCCGGCACACCTCTCATCTCTACTATTATGGCATATTAAGATTGCAACTCCTGAACAAGACTGAAACCAAGAACAATTATGGAGGCATGCCCCAACCTGTAACTAACATAATTTATAAATAAAAATGTTTTTAATGTAATGTAGTGGAAAAATAAAAAGTAAACTTAAACTGCATAAGCACTTACCATTTTCTTAGGCTAATAAAATCGATTCATTTTAAACTTCTCGCATTACTGAAAACTAAAATGTTGGCCACAGGGGTTGAAATTTCATTGGACGCAACCACCCAATATCCACCTAGCCCATCCTCATCCCCAATCCACCCATTTCCACCCAAGTTAACCATTCGATGGGCGACTGCGACTCCTTGTACATAACATAAAAAACGCATGAAACCGAACAGGACCGAAGCACTTTATCTCGCAATCTGTGAACCTTTCAAAGAGGGGAAATGGGTGTGTTTACATAGCAGGGTGCATTTTATAGTATATTCGTATTCCTCCCCGGGGCCTCTGCTCCGATCCCATGGCTCTAAGCTCAGCATCGATGGAAACTTATTTAAATTTTTCTAGGTAGATACAAACATGTGTCAGAGGGTACATACACAAATAGATATTTGCACAGACTCTATGTACATTAACTTCCATATGCATTTATCCGATTTTGAGAAACCTCCTTCCAACCCCTTGGATGGGGTTGAACACCGTTTAGGTAAACATGAGATTGGAGGGCTTACTTTTACGATCCGAAGGGAGGCAATTATCAATGCAAATGTTTACTTACGATATCGATACCAAATCCTAATGAGCAGAAATGCTTAGGATCCCTTTTTGGTTAATTTCTTGCAAAAAGATTATAGGTGTATTTTAATCATGTTATGCAACGTTCTTTGTTTTAAAGTCCGTGGAAACACGTTGTCCCAGGAGTCCTGCTTTTAAATTTCAGTTTGGCTGTGTAACTTTTTGAAATCCCAAAATCACCAACAATGTTTCAGATCCTTTTTTGGTAAATTTATTTGTGTTTTCCAATTTTTTTTCTGTTTGTCTAACTGACTATTATAATAAATATGGAAATAAAGTCCTTGTATTTATTTTAGGAAAATATTTTGAAAAAATCAACATTAATTCTTTTAATCCAATACGATATTTGGCTATAGTGGCCGTGTTAGATTTATAGAAAGGTTGCATCTAAATTTAAAAAAAAAAGATAATGCTATGGAGTATATGCCGTTTGAAACCATTAAAGTATCATATTATATTTAGAAGCTATTTTTTATACGTTTTCTAAAAATAACTAAACTTTGTATTGATAAAAATCAAATATAACTCAATTTGCTTAAAAGGATATGACACTTTCCAAACTTATCCCATAACCTAAAAACCTAAAAGCTTCCAAAGCTGCCACCGTAAAGTTCAGGATTAAAAAAGCTTTCAGGATCACCCACGAGTAAAGAAGTTGCTTTCGTATTTTCGTAATAAGGAACTACTTTGGAAGAAAGATAATACCTTTAGCAGTAACAGACCCAAAAGATTCTAAAATGTGGGTCCAAAATAAAGGAAGGTTAAAGCTCTACCAAGAAAATAAATTAAATTTCTTACAACCAGTTTTGTAGGCACTTACGTTTCCAGCTACTCCATACAATCCCCAAATCATTCAAAAATCCCCCTCACTTGTCAAGATCACCCCCATAGAATTTCTTCCAAATCAAAGAAAACTGCAAAGAACACAGTTACATAATAATTTATTTAATCTTACATATGCCGAAACAAAACTATTAATTCTATTTTATTATTTTACTTTATTTAAGCGCTGTAATTATTACAATACCAGTGGCGAACAGACCCTGAAACAAAAAATCAGGGAAACGAATGAAAAAAAAAGAAAATTTACATGAACCGAAAATCCTTCGAGATGTAATAGTTTTATGATCGGAAATCCTTTAGTGTTTAGTTTGGCTGAGAGGTTGGTGTGGGTGCAGTACAAGTGAAGTTTTTGGCCTACGTTCTGTATGTATCTGAATGCCTATGAATATGAATAAATTCGATGGTGAGAGGTCGCTTGCGATGTGTCGACATCCTCTTCAAGGGTGTACTTACCAAAATAATAGATGAACCAAAAGGAAAATATAAAACAATAGTCAATGTATGGAAATAAAGTTGATATCGATCAAGGGATATCGAAGTTGGGATACTTGGTTTTTGAATTGTGTGTATATTTCTTGCAATGATGCAATTGTTGTTTTTTATTCACAATAATTAACTTTTTAAAAAAGAGAATTGCTAACGCTAGATTAAAATTCACTAAACAAACTATAATCGAACATAATCATAAACATAACCGACTTTAGACTACAACTTATCGAGGGCTCGAAATAATAATAATACAAGAACGTGAATAAAGCAGTGGGTGAAATCATTTCATCAATTATGTATCAATTAATTAATTATACACATAGAATGAGAGGCATAGGTGTAGGTATAGGTATAGGTATAGGCTTTAGGTTTAAGGTTTTAGGTTTTAGGTTTAGCATAATAATATAATGCTCGGGGCAAAACATTAACAAAATCGATAATTACACAACACAACTAAACTTAGACTTAATATCAGGATCAAGCGGCGTCGATACACATGAAAATATATGTATGCATATGTACGTTAATATGTACTATATATAAGTAGCTGTTACGGTATGCTAATTACTTCCTCCTCGACCGCTCCCCTTTCTCATCATCGTCATTGCTCACACTCGCTTACTTTTTAGTTAAATTTTAATATTTCCTTTCTTTTGTTTATTTTTTGATTTTTTCAATTTGCTTTTTTTTTTTAAGAATTACGAGTACGAGTTTAGAGTTAATTTAATTCGAAAGCGACTTCAACTAGGGAGTAAACATGCACACACACATTGAAATTTTGCGACTTACGATTAACATTTTTGCTAAAATCGAATTCGAGTTCATATAGTAGTACAATTACTATATAAATATATATTTGATTTTAATTTAATTATCGGGTGTTTGCTTCGTCCGGAAGTCAGCGCAATGTCTTAGTTTATATACAGGAACTTAAATAGTATCAAAGGACACGACACGACGAACATTGTACGACAAAATTTATCCTAGACCGCGGAGATTGTGTGTGGATTTTGTTGAAGTTGAAATTGAAGTGTGTGTATGTGTGCCAGCGAGACTGGGTGTTGGTAGTGAGGAGGGCTGAGAGGATCTCGTTAAATTGTTATACAATTTTAGTTTTTGTTTCAATAACATTTTAGCTGGGTCTACGATGTGCTCATCCTACCGCTCTTACATGGATAGTTATGGTAAAATTTACTACTCGAACGCGTGTTTTCATAATTTATGCGGGATTATATATTCATATTTTTGTTTATAATTTATAATTCAGAAAATTCATAGTGCTCGCTTAGGGTTAATGAAAGCTTTGAGAGAGAAATACATACATCTTCATATTTATATATATTTTCAAACAGTTGCGAATCTAAAGTGCATCTGTGTCTGCTGCTACTTCTCCTCCTTACTTGTATCATGTATCTTGTATCTTGTATCTATATTCATCTACCGAACTAAGCTGAATGCATTCGGCTTAGATCTCTATTACTTAATAATTAACTGCATTTCAATCAACATCTTTGTCAGCAATGAACAGCGACGCCTGCGAGTCCTAGCTTACTCCTCCTTCCAGATGCAGTTCCTCAACTCCTCGAATCCCAGAGATCTGCGTTATCCATTATCTTTTCATTATTTTTTTGTACATTTAATTGATTGGCTAACAGGGGAAGTCCAGTGCCAGTTCGTTTTTGATCAGATGGGTATTCGGATGCGGATGCGAATGCGTTTGCGGATCGGCCATCGGGTTGGGTGGATGCGGCTGGGCGGGATTCCCGGTGCCGGTGCCGGAAGCTGGACCCAAACCCGGGTTGGCTAACTGCTAGTAGGTGGCAAAGCCCATGGCGCCCGCGCTGCTGTTGTCCAAGGGTCACTGGTGCATCTTGGTGGAGTGATGGCCCATGCTCAGGCCGAGGCTCAGGTGGTGGTTGCTGTGGTGCTGCTGGGCGGCCTGGGCGTGGTTGTGGTTGCTGCTCGAGTTGTTGTTGTTGTTCTGCTGATTGGCCTGGCGCTGTGAGTTCTTCTTGTTTTTCATGCGCCGGTTCTGGAACCAGATCTTTACCTGCAAGTCCATTTTATTATATTAAACACGCTCCAAAAACTTGAAAAGTGTATCTCAGACTTACCTGTCGCTCGGTCAGTTGCAGATTCCTGGCCAGCTCCCAGCGCTTCTGCTTGGACACGTACGCATTGAAGAGGAACTCCTTCTCCAGCTCCAGGGTCTGGAACTTGGAGTAGGGCTTTCGCTTTTTCCGGACGGACACCTGACCGGTCCACTCGTGCAGGGCGTTGTTGGGCGTGCAAGGACCCACGGCACCCACTGACAATCCTCCGGAGGCTCCTGAAAATGATCAGCACGAACAACACTGAGTTAGAAAAGTGCGGGTGGTCTTGTGGACGCCATTGTGTTCATAGTTGTTGATACAATATCAGATCGTTAAGTTTATAGGGCCATTAAGGAAATTGTTTAGCAATAAGCGTAATACAAAATTATTCAATTCAGTGTTTATGGCCCCTTAATTGGTGCGGTACGGGAGCGGAGCTCCCAATTGGCATGAGGCCCATTCACACCCGACTGAATAATGGGTAATGGTTTATGGTTAATGGATGCATTCGTTCCCGGTCATTGGACGCCCAAATGAAGCAATTAAATTAATATTGAAACAAAGTGGCAAGTCGGATTTATGATAGCTTAACCCCTTAAGCTCTCGCTAAAGTTAAGGGATTAGTAACAAACTAACTAAAACTTTTTAAAAAATTCATTCAAAATCTTTACCCCAGGAGATAATTAAGCACAGGTGGCTATGGCCAATATTTGACTTATAATCTACCGTTCAAAAGATAACTTGCCGAAGCTTAAATCTTTATCCCAGCAGATAATTACTAAGAGGTGGCTAAGGCTATTATTTGATATATAATCCTCTGTTCAAAAGATTACTTCCCTAGACTGAATGCAAACATAAACGTGCTACCCCCAGGCACCTGATGGGGCTTTCACACCCACATTTAGGCGTAACGCTCCCCAAATAGCGACAATCGATTTATGGGCTGTTTTGCAGTACGCTAATTGAACGGCAAACTTGACGGTTTCGCAATTCGCAACCGATACGGTGACAAAATTGGCCAACAACAATAAGAACAACGGCAATAGAACGCAATACACAGCAAGAAAATAGTGCTACTCATCAGGCAGAAGCTAGAAAAGTATCGATCTTCGACTTACCTGAGCTGGAGTAGGCCTCGCTGGGATAGCCGCGAAGTCCGCCCGGCGAGGAGTAGGTGGGCGGCTCATAGCTGGACTGCGAAGTACCCTCGACGGACTGGCGGGCCGACGCTGCTGCAGTCACGTGGCGGTCCTCGGTGGCGCTCATGTAGGTCGTCTGGTCGGGGCGGTATGTATAGGGCCAGCCCTGTTTTCGAGAGGGGGAAGATACAGAAGAGAGTTAGGGTCGGAATTGAGTTGTTTACGGCCGGCTAGTCAGATGACGGGGCCTTGGAGAGGGTGCAGGTGCAGCTGCGGGTAGAAAAACTCACCTGAAACTGGGTATCTGTATAGGGGGGGTACGGGAACATGTGCTTGCGATCGCGAGGCTCCATGCCGTACGGTGATCCGTATGTGTGGGGGTATGTCTGGTTGAACTCCTCGTTGTAGGCCCAGTGGGCCGCAGGGTGCCGCTTGACAGCCGCCGAGGCGTCCGTCTCGAACCCTGGTCCGGCCCGGATGGCGGGTATGTGCAGTGGCGCTAATTGGATGGACATATTTATGTCTGAAAGGAGAGGTTAAGAGTTGGTGGATTAGTTATTTTTATATAGACTGGGGTAGTATAATATAAATTATGGATATTATATTATTCTATACTAAATATTACTTTTCATGGAAAATATAAAATCAAAGAAGAGTTTCCTTTTGATCTTTTAGTTAAATAAATGCTAGGTCTATCTTAAAATCAACTTTTATGTTGAATAAATAATATCTTTTAATGGTTCTTATTTCTAATAACTATTATGATTATGAATTATTTTTATATTAGAATAGCCTAAACTCTTCCCTCTGCTTTCTTGTTTGTAACCAATATTTTAAGACTATGTAACATTTCAGTATTACCACAATTTGGGTCAATGGCGAAAAGAAACAATTACTCCTCAAGAGAAACGCAGCCGAGGTCTCTTATCAACGTTTGCAACCGTGATGTAATTGCAGAAACTGGGACACTTGGCAATTGTGACTAAAATATAGAACTCAGCCTTGCTCCGAAAATACTTGCATGAATACTTGTTAAGATCCCAATAGGACTTTGTATTCCATGAAGCGACCTTCTTGAAGAATACTTCATGTTTTAGGAACTATCTCATGATAATTATAGGGAGTACTAAAGATTCAACTAATAAGATACTATATAAGTAGCATAACCCCTGTGTAATTTTAAGGACTTTCGTCCCTAGAAAACCCTAAAGAACCTCACCTTCCTTCTGCGAACTAACACTGGAGGGAGAAACACTCGCCGTGGTGGGCGCAACGATTTGTGTCTGGCCAGGAGGGAGCGTGGAGTTCTGCTGCTGCTGGAGATTCGAGGAGGCGCCACTGACCACGCTGTTCGGGGTCTGTTGCTGCTGGGGCAGTTGCTGGTGATGGGGCGAGGTGAGATGTTGCTGCTGCGTCTGCTGTTGTTGCTGCTGCTGCTGTTGGGCGGAGGGTCCAGTGGGAGTTTGGGCGGGACTGAGGGCGCCGGCCACCGGTGTTGTCGCCAGCTGTTGTTGCTGCTGCTGCTGTTGTTGCTGCTGCTGCTGCTGGGGAGCGGGGAGGTGTTGCTGCTGCACGGCGACAATTGGCACAGGCGGGGGATCCTCGTACATGACCGCATGCGTGGGCGTGGAATGTGTGGTGGGTGTCGTCTGCTGCTGCTGCTGCTGGAGCACCGAGGAGGGCGAGGATGCGACCACGGAATGCTGCTGCTGGTGGGGCAGCGCACTGTGATGGAGGCTGGTGGTATGCAGAGGCTGAGGCAGGTGGTGGTGAGCGGCATGCTGATGCAGTTGCTGCAAGTGTTGCTGCTGTTGCTGCTCCTGCTGCTGCTGTTGTTGTTGCTGTTGCAACTGCTGCTGCTGCTGTTGCTGCTGCTGGAGGTGGTGCTGCTGCATGGCGGGTAGCGAGGGATGCGCCTGATGGTGCGGATGCGGATGCGGGTGCGTGGGGGTGTGGGAGTGGGTGTGCGGTGTGTGGTGCCCCCACCACGCCCCGGCAGCGGCGTGCGACCCGACTGCCGAGACATCGTGGGGGTCGTATAAAGCGCACGCCAGCGGGATGGTTGGGGTTTGGGGGAGGGGTGGAATATTTACGGTTATCTTGGACGCGTTTCACTTAAACTTGGGCGATGTAGCAACGATGTGGTGCAGTGGTGCAGTGCAGTCGAGATCGTCTCGACCCACCGACCTGTTTATCGTTTTTTTTTCCAACCCTATTCCTCCCCCCAATTGGCCAAGTCCAGTTAAGTAATTAATTTTCTATTTCACACTCCTCTGTTTATTTTTCTGATTTTTATTTAAGCAATTATTTCTCGTTTATATTTTTTTTTATTTGCGTACCGCACACGCACACACTGCTGCTGGCACACGCTCACGCACACTGACACCCTCACACGCATACAGCGCTAAGAGCGGCGAAAAGAGAGCCACAGTTTTTTTTGGTTGTGCGTGCTGGCTGGCAGGGGGCTGTTCCGATCAAAAAACCAGCCAAGAGAGTTTCCAATTCACAGGGTGTTCGCGGTCACTCAATATTTTCAAATTGGTCACGAGTTTGATTTTTTTGAAAATTTTTCCAAATTTGTTTCAAGTTTTGAAGTTTCTTAGTCAGTGTTTTGGGATGGTTTGGGATTCAATCACTTGTCGTTGAGCAGGGAAAAGCCTTTTCATTTGATTTATTTTGTTGTGATTATTTAAATAAATTATTTATTTTAGTTTCTGCTGGTGGGCTTTTAGTTTTGGGGCCGGCACAAGTCGCGAGCGTAATTTTTAGTGAGTGTTTGGTGTTGTTGCTGCCTTGGCTGGGGCTGGCTTTTTATGTTGCTGGTCATAAAATTTGATTTTACGACCAAAACAAACAATTAAACTCAATGCTTGCAACAGTTAACAAAAATGTTATTATATTTTTTCACCACATAGCTGCTGTCGATTGTTTTGATTTTTATTTTTTACTTTTGGCTCGAGTTCTTATTTGAATTTTCAGTTTTTAGTTTTTGAGAAAAAGCACAAGTTACGCGAGCGAAGCACTCCAAGTCGAATAAGCCAAGAAGTGTTGTATGTTGCTGGCGTGTTGCTGCTGTTGCTGTTGTTGTAGTTGCTGCTGGGACGCCCGCGCGTCTTCCAACCGACCAGAGCGACGACCGAACTTGAAATGAAAATGCTGGCGACGCACAGCACAGCGACAACACCGACACCGACAATCCAGAACCAGAAACTCAAACAGCAGCAGCAGCAACAGCAACGGTGGAGTCCCGCTTCTGCCCTCTCTCTTGCTCTTGCACGCTCGCCAGCCAGCTCGCCTCCTAAGAGTCAAGAGGGCAAACAAAAGGCAGCGGCGCCTCGGGGGTGCAGGAGTGTGCGTGTGTGTGACCCGAAAGAGAGAGCCCAATATTGGGCATGCGCCTATGTTGCTGTCGTGCTGTGTTGCTGCTGTTGGTGTTGCTCCTTTTGCTGGTGGTTGCTGCTGGCTTTTGGCTCTCTTGTGGCGCATTATGCACACGTACACTGTATACAGCGTGCGTGTGGATCCCAGACTCGTCGTGGTATGGGTACCAAGAGAATGGAGCCCCACAGCAAAAAACTCCACAGCCATCGAACAATGCTCCAACTTGGAAGAAAAAACCCAACTATCTAGTTAAACAAAAAAAAAAAGATAGTATCTTACGGATTTCGCTGAGCTCAGCAGGTGCATTGAGGTGCTTGACTCACACGCACAGTGTACGTGTGAGTCCTCTGCTCTCTCTTCGCGATGCTCTCTGCTCGAGACCTTTCTCTCGCAGTGCTTGGGGGCTGATTTGAATATTTTTTAACACGCGCACCACAGCGCCATCTATGGCCGAGATTTGAGAGGTGGGGGCCTTGGGGAGAACTTGGCGCAAAACATTCCGACATTGTGTGTAGTTAGTGGACTGTTTTTTTTATCGATTACCAACCAGTAGCCAGTAGGAATAAAACTAAGGACTTACATAACAGAATTTGCGCTAATTAATGACAATTAGCTAAACAAATAAATGACGACAATACCCGGAAAAGGAGTCGCAGGAAACCCCCGGGTGCACTCTTTCTATCTCTCTCGCATCCTGTCTCACTCATAAAGTATCTTAAGGATTTCCTTTCTCGTCCCTGGTCGCTTCAGGCGGCAATTGCCGAATTTAACGCTGCAATGGACAATTATGGGAATTTTATGGCAATTGCCATTGGAAGAAAGGAAGACGGCACAGAGTCGAGGGCAAGGAGATGTTAACAAATCGTAAAAAAGGATGCGACTGACACGGCTGGGAGGGATACTCTCAACCCGTTCTCAAAGCACACATAAAACCCCGACTCCGACTCCGGCAATTACAATAATAGATTTATGCAGGGGTTAAGGATGTGTAAGGACATCAAAACACACAAAACTTTGAATCTGTATACATTTTCCAAGCCATTACAATAAGGGATTTATTCAGACTGATAATTTATGTTATGTCTCTTAAAATTATGGATTTTCTTTTCTTAATATTAACTAATACTTATCTGAAAACCTATCATACTCTAAAAGATTGAGTTTAGACTCACCTGGAGGATGGGAACTGACGCTGGAGGGAGAAATGCTCGCCGCTGTCGGCGCAACAAGGTGGCTTTGGCTGGACGCCACTGCTGGGAGTTTTTGTTGGGGCTGAGGCTCAGGTTGTGGGTTCTCAGGATGAGGCTACTCCGCTGGATTCCACGACTTCAGAGGCTGCAAGAAAAAGATACAGAAAAAGCGACTAAGTAAGCCTGAACTTCGAAAGCCATCAATAAAGGCCTGCTGCAACGTGGCGCCACTCATCATACTCATAGTGGCTCGTTTTCCTTTCCCTTCCATTTTTTTTTCAATTTTTTCTCGAAGGAACAAAAACTGGGAAACTAGGATGGGAAGCTGTCGTCATCTTGTGCCTTTATGGCCGGCGCATACGTCTTGTTTGCATTTGACACCGCGCGAGCAGGTAATAATGCAGGCTAAGTTGGCAGCCAACCAGGGCGCAGGACGCAGGATGGAAGGAAGGATGAAGGATGCCGCGATTTCCCGCAGTGTCTGGTCTCAAGCCACTGCGGAAGTGAGCGCCGGGTCCGGAAAAGGGAAAGGGCCGATTCTGGGTTTTGTTTTTTGACTCTGAGTCAGGCAGTCAGTAAGACAGTGAGACATTCAGACACTTGGACAGATAGACAGCCGTCAAACACGTCGTAAAATTTGTTTCTCGTTTCGCATTTGCATTGTTCAACACTCGCATGCTGACTGCTAGCTGCTGGCTGACTCGTACAGATACACGTACTTTCAGATACACATAGAGATTTTCCGGTGGCTGCTGGCTGGCTGACTGGCGGTCTCAGGGTCAAAGTCACCGCCTGCCCTTCGACTGTTTGTACTTTCATGCCCAACTGAACTCAGGAACAGGCTAGAGCCAGTCCCCAGTGTCCCTCAAGAGTTTCGCTTTCGCTTTGATCGCCGAGACGAGCTCTCTCGTAAAGTCATTTGACTGAAACCCTAGACCCTGGGCCCCAGGAAATGGGCATTTTCCTTCAAGCGGAAAACTGAATGATCATTTTCGCATGTCTTACTACACTAGTCCCCTGAATGTCTTTCTTATTGATTGAATTACTGAGTAATAAACAGGCCCCCCTTCGGAATATTAATTTTGCTATTTTTGGACATCATTAGGAAAGTATAAAAAATGCATAAAACCATAATTCCATAACCCGATTCCCAACTGCAATCATCGTGGGAAGATCAACCTTGTGGGTGTCACAATTATTGTGAATAATTTGTATTTCTTTTGTCATCAACAATAAAAGCCTTTCATTCGTTGTCACCCATTCTTATTGTTACTTTTTTTATTTTGGGAGGGAATAGAGCTATAGCCATAAAAAGAATTTCTTCCATTTTTAACGATTCTTGAATTTGAATAAGTTAATTAACAAAATTAATATTCAAATGGGTTTATGGCCGAAATGGTGGCTTATGGCTTCATTATGTGAGCCCGACTCTGGGCCGAAAAAATTTAAATTCGGGCAAACAATAAACCTACCACAAAAAATATACCATCATCTTGGACAAATTCACATGCAATATGTCCAAAGAAAGGAACGGGTAGTATGGTGCGAGAAGTTCATTGGCCAGCCGCCATAAAAAAAACGGAGAAACAACCAGAATTTTTGGTTGTTTTCGGGTTGTCGCCGTTCTACGGGAGATGCTGCGGTGGAATTAAATGAAATAAAATTAAATTCATGTTATCCAATTAGACACAGCGATCGTTAATGATCTTTCTCCCAACTAATTATGATACTCCCAGCCGGCTCCCAGAACGGGCTGGAACCTTTAATGGCCTGGAATCTCTTTATTCTCGGAACCCTTTTTTTGGAGACTGAACCTTTTCCGTGTAAAGACCAGCAACCGGAGACGGAGACGAATCACAGATATGCGGCCCGATTCCGATTCCAAGTAAACTGAAAAACTAAGCTCGGATCGCGGCTCTAACTGGCACTTTTCCAGACTCGAACCCAAACAAGTTTTCTCATTCCTGTTTTTCCCTATGTGAGCTGTGTGTGAGTCTGTATATATAAGTATTTTTTGTCTTTAATCGTGAAAACGTGTTCTGTGCCCTCCATGCTGGTTGTTCTGACGAAAAGACTCTGCCAGAAATTGGGCAACACAGCCGACAGAATCATCGGAGCGAAAGATACAAGATACACACTGCCAGCAAACTCATCCCGAGCCATAATTAGAACAAAGAACGAAGTCGGATGGAAGTCGAGGGGTGTGCAGGGGAGGCCGAGTGGCAGGGACTGGGACTGTGGCAGGGGCAGAGAAAGATATATCGTGCTGACAGCTTCCAAGCGAGACATTTTGTGGAAAGATGTCAGATGCAGTCACCGCCATGTATCCCTGAGATACAAATACTATATGTTCATGTACGGATGCATGCGTTCTCAACATGGCCACCGCCCCTCCTGAAAATTTCCCTTCTTCAGTTTGTTTACCCGGCAATTTGTTGTTTCCCATTTTTCATTTTCCATTTTTTTTTTTTTTTTTTGGCAACATCCTTTGGATGGCATCCATTGTTGCTGCTAATTTATGATAGGAATCTGCTTTGTTTAATTATGTACACACAATGTCATTGCTCTTTGTCTGGGATAGGAGTAATTGGCACTACCAACAAAGATTATCCGATTCTATATATTCTGTAACCCCGACACTG